TGAATTCCCCGTAGGGCGTCACTTCCTCTGCGGCCCCCCAGCAGCCTCGAAAGTGGCGACAGTTTCACAGATCGCAGCCCCCCAGGGATGGCGAGGTCTAATCTGAATCCCCGTAGGGCGTCATTCCGCTGGCCCCCCCAGCAGCCCTCGAAAGTGGCGACGCTTTCGCATATCGCAGCCCCCCAGGGATGGCGAGGTCTAATCTGAATCCCCGTAGGGCGTCACTCCGCTGGGCCCACCAGCAGCCCTCGAAAGTGGTGACAGTTTCGCAGATCGCAGCCCCCCAGGGATGGCGAGGTCTAATCTGAATCTGCGTGGTGCCTCACTCCGCTGGACCCACCAGCAGCCCTCGAAAGTGGCGACAGTTTCACAGATCGCAGCCCCAAAGGGATGACGTAAAAGGCAAGAGAGAAGAGGAGGAGCGAAGAGAGGAGGAGAAGGGAAGCAAGAGAGGAGGAGCGAAGAGAGGAGAAGGGATGCAAGAGAGAAGAGGAGGAGCGAAGAGAGGCGGAGAAGGGAAGCAAGAGAGGAGAGGAAGAGGGAAGAGAGGAGGAGGAGGCGGGAAGGAAGGTGGAGACCGCAGTGCTCTATTCAAAACGAGTGCCCAACGCAGGAGGGTTGGGAATAAGAAGAATACGACGAATATGAAGACTAGTAGTAGTAGTAGTAATAATAATAATAATAATAATAATAATAATAATAATAATAATAATAATAATAATAATAATAATAATAATAATAATAATAATAATAATAATAATAATAATAATAATAATAATAATAATAATAATAATAATAATAATAATAATAATAATAATAATAATAATAATACTAATAATACTAATAATAATACGAACACGAAGAATAATACTACGAATAATTAGCATAGTAATGATATTACTCATACCACATAATAATAAGAATAATAATACTAACGAGACTAATACTAATACTATCAAGAAGAAGACTATTAATTAGACAACGAATACTAATATGAATCATAATAATACTACTACTGAGAAGAATAACAAGAAGAAGAGGGGGAGGACGAGGAGGAGGAGGAGGAGGAGGAGGAGGAGGACGAGGAGGATGAGGAGGAGGGGAGGATGAGGAGGGGGAGGAGGAGGGAGGAGGAGGAGGAGGAGGAGGAGGAGGAGGAGGAGGAGGAGGGGGATGAGGAGGAGGAGGAGGACGAGGAGGAGGAGGAAGAGGAAGAGGAGGAAAAGAGTGTCCCCTCTCCTCGTCCTCTTTCCCTGTTCTCCCCCCCCTCTCCCCCGTTTTCCCTCTCCCTCTCTGGGAGCGGCCGTCGGACAGCACAATCTGCGGTCACGACTTCGTTGGGCAAGCCACCAGCTGGCCCGCTCCCGCCCGTGGGTCGGGGGCGGTTCCGCGCGTCCATCCGTCCGTCCGCTTTCCCTCTCCCTCCTCCCCTTCCCCATCTTCCTCATTGTCTTCCCGCCGTCCTCCCCCTCCTGTCCCTCCTGTCCCTCCTCCCCCTCCTCCCTCCTTCCCCTCCTTCCCTTCTCCTCGCCCTCCTCGTCCTCGCCCTCTCGCCCCGCCTTCTTCCTCGTCCTCCCTCCTCCCTCTGTTCGCCCGCCTCCGCGCTCTCGCGCTCTCACCCGCCCGCAGATGCACCGCGTCCTCTCGAAGCGGCGCCGCGGCGTCGCCGAGACGGAGGCAGCCCTGGCAGCGGGTCGCCCTTGGGCCGAATGGGCCGCCAGCGAGGTCCAGGCGGCGCCGCTGCCACGCTTCGACGACGTCAGGAAAACACGTTCGTCGGGGGACAGGCTCAGCGTGGGGATGCACCAGCCGACAGGGGCCCGATGGCCCACCCCGCCAAGACGAGTGAGTTGGCTATCGGTGGCCTATCGCCGATGGCCGATCAATCGGTGATACCGCTGATTCCAGGTCGATGTTCCCCCCCCCGTGAGCCGGCCCCCCCTGATCATTGCCCTCACGACGGCGGCCAGGCGGCGTCGGCAGCGGCGACGACGACGACGACGACGACGGAACACGAGTCGTAAAACCTGCCTTCCAGATTTCTAGGATCTAGGAGGTGCCGTAGAGGGGATCCCCGGTCAAGGTAATGGGGGGGTGCTGTGGGATGCGGGGAATTTCCTCTTCTTCCTTTTCCTGCGTCGACAGGGAGTTGCATCTGAATGCGTTTACGTACTCTGGTGCCTCTACCACCAGGGCCGTCGTCCGCACGGACTCCACCAGCAGGCCCTTCAATCTCCGCTGCGGCACGACACAAGGACACCCATTGAGCTCTTTGCTGTTCAACGCTCTCTTGCAACACGTGCCAGAGCCATTCATTCCAGAATGGCAGCGACGACGACGAGGAGTTTAACTGGCACGCGTCGACGAATCCGACGGCATCTTATTGGGGATCCAGACACTACCCCATCTGAAGACGCTAATCAGTGACCTGATCACAGCAGCAAAACCCCACGGCCTCGAAATATTCCCGACCAAGACGAATCTCATGACAAACCAGTAACCCGCCAAATATACGAACGCGCAAGGCCACAGTTGCAAACATCGACATCGATGTTTTGTCTTGGGCACTGGAACGCTGACGTATTTCGGCCAAGCGATTACGTTTCAAAACGCTTCGGCAACAGTGATCCAACATCGACTGTTAGGCTGTGTGGGCATGCTTCATAGGACACAAGCAAGAGCTCTCGAGCAAGCCTTATCCACTCAAGCACAGGCTGCGACTGTTACCGTGGTGCCGTCATACACACTCTGATGTACGGCGCAGAGACGTGGACTGTAACAGAGCCTTTCAGACATCAGCTACGCCGCACACAGCGACGGATGGTCAGAGCGATCATCGGAACACCGCGAGGGCGCACGAACACACTCACGTCAACGTAGCCCACCCCGTCCACGGGCAACCATATCGACCGCGACCCTAGCAGCGACCATCGCGACGAGTCCAGCGACCACAATGCTTTCAACAACCCTCCGACTCCGTCAACGCGGTCCACTCCGCGTGAAGAAGCTAGCGATGGCCCCCTCAACGCCCGCCCGCGCGCAGACGACGGACCACAACGAACTGTGGTCCCATTTCATTCGCCGGAGCACGCGCAGAGCTAAGGAGTTAGTGAGCATGCATCATATCCCTAACGTGGAACAAATGCACCGAAGAAGGGTCTGGCGCTGGGCCCTACGCGTGGCGCAGAACCAACCGAACCGATGGACACAACAAACATTTTTAACTGGAGCCCGTCTCTTGACGCGAAACATCAAGGTCATCGGAAACATGGTGGCCAACAGAAACGCTGGGGCGACGACGTTCGGAATATCGCCCATGGTTTGCATCGAAGCGCCAATGACAGGTATGCAGAGAAACGCCTACGAAGCCACTCGCCCCCAGCAGTATTTCCACTACGACAGCAATGACGCACGATGGTTGACAGCCGCGATGGACACGATGTGGTGTGACTCGCATGAAAAAGTTCCATTGCGTGCGCCAGTTGATTGCGCGAGCTTTTGGCCGCCAGCAGCAGCGACGAAACCGAGCAGCGTCATCAGCAACACCAGGGCAGTGCACCGACCACCCACCAATAGCAGCAGCAATGCACCTACAGACAGCGGAAACTCAGCTCCGGCCGCCGACGCTAACCACCGACCAGCAGCTCCACCGGCACCAACCGCCACCGACCACCGCCGACCACCAGCATCGACCACCGCGGACCAACGCTGACCGCCAGCACGCGACACCGACCACCCGCGGTCGATTGACCTTGGCGGCGAAGGCGGAAGTCGACCCATAATGTAAGATGGGTGAAACGGAAGGGATGTTGATCATGACGTGCAAGGACGACGTAACCTGAACGCATCCCGTAGCAGAAATGACAGCGGGCGCAAGACAAGTTTAGCGCGCCCAGGAATCGACGAAGCAAGCCCCAGTACATGCGCATGCCGTTCTTCTGGATAGATCTGAGAGTGCCCCCCATGCCACCTACTGCGTTCCGACTCTGGTAACGTCTCCTTGTTATCTCAGTGAAGCCTTTATCAGTCAGCGGTGCGCAGACGTCAGGCATTTCTTCGAACGCGACGCTCGGGGGCCGAGGCTTATGCGGCGCGAGGGGGTGGGGGGGTGGGGTGGGTGGGTGGGGGGTGGGTGGGGTGCGTGGGTGGGGGTGGGTAGGTGGGGGGGGGGGGGGGGGGCGATTTGTCGTTGCCTTGGCCCGCCCGAGCTGCTATGTTGCGCGACCCGGGAACTCGACGGGCAGGCGCCCTCGACGCCTCCTCTGGAGCTTATTCTACAACCAGAGCGCCTCCCAAGCTATTTACTGCACATCGACTCCACCAGTGACCGCGCGGCGAAGTTCCCCTTGGCATCTTGCAGTATAGAGGATGGGGTGGGAGTGGTGGCGGTAGCAGTGCAGGGCGCCATGTAGCGTGGCATTGTTGCACTGTTGTCACTTCTCATTCCATAGCCCCTCTCGGCAAAAATCTTCCCCATGGTGGCGCGCGGAGCCCGGCCTGCGCGCTCCTGGGCAGAAGATTAAGGGCCGGCGACGGCGCCCCGGCGCCGCCCAGCGCCGGGCAGATTGAGGGATCTCGCCGGCGACTCGGCAACAGCGCCCAGCCCCCATTGTGCGCGGGCGGCCCCGCCTCGGGCGCAGGCTGGCAGGAGGGGCCGGCGGCCCCGGCGCCGGAGGCAGCGGGCGGCCCTGCAGTCCGCGCAGCCGCTGCCGAAGGACGAGGACAAGGAGGCCCCCGACTCTCGGGCGCGCGCGGGGCGCGGCGGGCGCCCGCGATGCTCGGGGGCGCGGAGGAGAAAGGGAGCTCGAGGAAGGACAGGCGTGCCGAGAGAGAGGGGCCAGAGGGCGACAGAAGGGCAAGGTCGTCGTCGACTTCTCGCCCTGCGACCTGAGCCTGGATCACGTTTTGCGCCAAATCGCGTTTCGCGGTCGGGTCGAGAAGGGGCTCGGGCCGCAAGGGAAGCAACAGGGCGGTGAATGCAGAGTCCGCGGGGTCGGCGCCTGCGCGGGTAGCCCCGCCGTCGCTGGAAAGGAATGGTGGCGGGGGGGCGGCCGAGGAGGTTGGCCCGGCAGATGGGGCCCGTCGAGCAATTGTCGACTGCGATGAGTCAGGGGCATCGTCAGCTTACAGCGACGTTGGCCTCGCAACAGCAACGGATCAGCCAGCTGCAACGGGCGGGGGGCGCCGCGCAAGGCGGCGCGGCAGCGCCGGGCCCGGTCGTTTCCAATGGGTCAATCGGTCTTTTGATCGATGCGCTCACGGAGCAGACCAGAGCATTTTCGAGGAGGGATCGGCCAGTTCTTGTCGACGTCGACGGTGCTGGTCGGCCGTGCGCGTTAACCGGCGACGGGGGCAAGTTTCCTGAGTGGCGCAGGAAAGTAGAAGACTACTTGCGCGGAGTACAACCGCAATGAGCGCCCGCGCTCGAGTGGGCGCTCGAGCAGGAGGGCGAGTTCGCGACAGCTGAAGCGACCCCTGCCTAAGGGCCCAGCGCGGAGCATGCCGTGGACGACGTTGGGGCACCCAATTTGCAGATCAAGCCTGTATTGTCGAAATTGGCCGAGGGCGAATCGTCGGCGATCGCCCAGAACTGCGACCGCAACGGTTTCGAATCGCGGCGCTGGTTGCACGGGGGGGTCGACGAGCTGGCGGGCGGAAGGCGCTGGGCGCTGCTGCGCGCCATCCTGTCGCCCCGCAGGGTAAAACTGGAGGAGATAGGCGCGGCGCTCCAGCCATGGGTTGAGATGGCCCCGAGGTGCAGCGAGAAGCAGCGGAGGCTGGGGGGGGGGGCGATTGCTGACGAGTGCCTGCGCGGTGCCTTGGAGGCGGTGGTCTCCGAGGGCGTCGAGACCGCTTGCAGATGAACGCGAACCGCTTAATCAAATGCAGCGACGCGCGGGCAGAAATGGCGGCCTTCTTCGACGCGCGCGCAGGTGGGGGGCTCGCGCGGTCCTGCAGGGGCGCGCGAAGAGGGCTAGCTCCAGCGGTCCCGTGCCCATGGACGTTGACAGCTTGCAGGAGGGCAGAGGCCCCCGAGAAAGACCAAGAGGGGGGGAGACAAGGGAGGAGAAGGAGACTCCGGAGGAAAAAGGCAAAGGCAAAGGAGGAGGCAGAAGGAGTGGAAGAGGGGGGGGCGCGCCCCCGCGGAAGCCCTTTGAAGGGCACTATGACAAGTGCGGGAAGTGGGGGCACGAGGAGGCAGACTACCGGGGCAAGTCGCCGGACGCGAGGAAACCCAACGCCGACCCTGAATGAGGCCCCCGCGGCCGAGGAGGCCGCGGCCCCAGGGGGGCCAGAGGCAAAGGCGCAGCCTCCCTTGAAGAAGCAGGAGACCACGGGCGCCGGCCCGAGACGGAGCAGGCCTCCCTCGCTAGGTGCGTTCGATGCGCGGGTCGCCCCGCCGTCGTTCACTTCTGTGGCTGGCGTGGATGACGAGGGGTGCGCCGAGTTCAACCTCGACGCCGGGGCGGCAGCCGCAGCGTTCCCCAGGAGTCTGTTTGGCAGCGGCCGTCCAGACGAGAACCAAAGAAGTTGCTTCACAGCGCGCGGGGGACGAATTCCTGACTGCCGAGGGGGTCGGTTCGGGTGCGTCGACGAGCGCGGGCAGCGTCGCCGTATCGCCTGCCGGGAGACAGACGTGCGCATGGCACTGGCCTCTGCAAGCCAGGTCTCCAGGGGGGGAAGCAGGTGGCGTGGCTGACCGAGGATGGTGGGTGCATCGTTCCGCGCGACGGCCCTGTCGCGAAAGCTATTGCAGTCAATGCGCCCCTCCGCGCCGCCAGGTTCCTGCCCTTCTCACCTCTCCTGCTCGCTTCTCATTGGCTGCTTCTTTCCTTGCTTTGGACATCTTGTGTTTCGCAGCTGTTATCGCCAATTGACGGCTCAGGTATAGCGGAGAAGAAGCGCGCCCGCGCGCGGCCCCGCGCGTCGGCCGGCGGGCCGGCCTCCTCCCTTCAGTGTTGTATCTGTCGCACGTTAAACGGCATTATCCTTTCTTGCCCATGCCTTCTGTGAAGCCCACTGACTATGAGACGTCATCCGGACATATCGCAGGGATAATGAATAGCCAGGGCAAATATTTGTTATCAGCCGATTCGACGGCACAGTCGTTCGCTTCGCAGAGCATGGGATCTCAAGAAGGACTTTTCGGAAGGACAGATAATCGAGGGCCTTCCGAACGTGACGGAAGTATGAGCGCTTTGGACAGGCAACATAATTCTCATTCTTCCCGATCTGAAAGCATCAGCTAGTATGTTCGACTTGACAGAGGGGGATTCATCAGTTGATTCAGAGAGAAGATCCAAGAGTTACCCATCGGGTCGAAGGGATGGCACAGCCAAAACTCCTACATGGGAGCCTTCTGAAGCAGTGGTGGCACACGTTGGCTCTCAGATTTGATAGATATAGATCTTGAGATGGTAAAGCTGCTGGATGCCGATCTCTTCGAAGCATATGGCGTTGAACGTTTGGGTGCCGGGGGTGCTGTTAAATGCGCGTTGCATGGGCAGGGTGAAGACGTGAGCGATATGCAATCTGAAGAAGATAGTTCCCATTCGATGGAGACGAATGAGGAGTATGCTCGATTTCGCACTTTACCTGGCCCGTCGCGCCACCTTGAACCTCTCCTTGGCTTGTGTGCCGATCCTGTTCATGATCGCGCAATGATTGAGGCAAGTCAGAAAGCCGTTCTCGATTCGGGCGACGAAAGTCAATATGAAGAAAGGCTAATCCAAGGTGGGTGCTCATCGGCACAGCCGATAAGATACCCCCCCTGACGCTATGCGCGCGATATGGAGTGATCGAGAGGTTACAGGGGCGATTCCTCATCCAATGACGAAGAAATCAAATAATGAAGACGATGTCTTGAATGTTGCGCCCTTGCCACGAGGCCTCTACAGACCTGACTTTTCGCTGCCCAGGACAGTCAGAGATAGAGCGCCAGAACTTGACGAGTTTATTGTCCAGGATGAGCGAGATGATTGGGTAACAAACATGGATATGGATAACTCCAAGAGGGGTGTGACGACAAAAGAACAGTACAGGCCTACCCAGAATAGCGAGAGGGGGCGACCCAGTAAAGCCCCCAGGGCCGGGCGTTCCAGCTCCAGAGGGTTTAATGTGTTCGATTCGCCACGAGCCTCATCGAATCGGACCGCTATCAGTTTCTGTGCGGGGAGTTTGCTGGATTGCCGGGCCAACGTGCCCTTCCCGCGCAGGGGGTCGATGTCCCGGGAAAGCGCGCAATACGGGGGGTTCATGTCGAAGACCTGTGTGTTCTCAATGTTCGAATGTTTGCCCCAAATGTAGCCTAGCGTGGCTCTGTGACGATTGCATTGCGATGGGGGAGCATAATTGTCACCATCTTGCGACCCAGGACTGGCCAAAAAGAAACAGACAAGATCATGAGCAGCTGAGGGCTGCAAGTGCGCTCGTGCAACACGTTCTTTTTGAGGTGCAAGTCAATGGGCAGGCGGCCGAAGAGGCCCAACGCCGACTTGCGATTTCTGAGGTCGAAAAGCAAGTGATTGCGCAGAGGATGGAGCATGAGAAAACCGTCGTTGTTGAAGATGCGCGCAAGTTGATGCAGCATGCTGAGGCCAATGCAGCAGGCGTCGCGGATGAAGCGAATCGGCGCCTTGCTTAGGAGGAGAATGAGAAGTTGAGGGCTCAGAGTATAGCAGCAAATCTGTTGATTGACTCTCAACAGATAGCAGAAAGAGAAAAAGCTGCTTGCAGAGAGATGGCTGATGCTGCGAGGCGGGAAGGAGAGGCTCGAGAAATGGCAGCGCGATAATATCAGGAGCTCCGCAATCAGCTCGAAACTGCTAGACTTAAGGCTGACAGAGTAAATTCAGAAGCGTTGCGAGCCCTCAGAGAACAAGAACAGACGACCCAGGCAACCAGAGCGGAGGGCCAGAAGAGAATGGTCGATGCCTTGGATCGTTTGAATGGGGCAAGCAGAGTAACATGCAAGAAGCAACGTCCTTGCACATCGGGCTGCAAGCGAAGAAAGCAGAAGGTTGAAGTCTGAACTCGAGCAGCGACGAATGGACAAAGAGGTTAACTCAGGACCGGCACAGCCGACGCACGTTGAGCCGCCTCCTGTTGCAACCATTGCGCGGCCTGATCGGAAAACAGATGTTGCCAGCAAGTGCGCGACCTGGCACCTCGAATCAGACGTCGCACTTGTATGCGATCTTCGTCCGATGTATGCAAGAGTTGCCTGGAACATACATGCGGTGCTCATCTGGATTCGGGTGGTAAGCGCTGCGGTGAATGTGCGTGGAAGAAAACGGTAGGCCATCAGGGCGAGGATGACGAGAAAAGGGGACCTCAAAACGTGCCGAATGCCCAGAACACAGGTAGCGACCCTGATAGAAAGGCACCGAGACACTCTGCCTAAATATCATAAGCCAGAATGCCAGATGAGCAATCTCGCCGACACAATGGGAATGCCGTTTTTTGTTGTCACATGACAAAATGCCATTGCTGACTGCTCCGTCAATCGGAGGTTGGGGGGCGAGATCGAAGTGGACCGGAGAGCCCCCCTACCGGGAAATCGATTTCGGTTTCGTGTTCGTGCGTGCCGTGCGGGCGAGGCGAAGCTGCGTGGGCGGGCGAGAGAAAGTCTCCTGTGGCTGAGGCGCGGCCGGACCAAATGACTCCCTTCCGGGCGGCCTGTGGCCCGCCGGGTCCCGCCGGTGTCCCGCTGGTGTCCCGTGTGGCTGAGGCGCGGCCGGACCAAATGACTCCCTTCCGGGCGGCCTGTGGCCCGCGGTGCCCCGCTGGTGTCCCGCTGGTGTCCCGTGTGGCTGAGGCGCGGCCGGACGAAATGATTCCTTTCCGGGCGGCCGGGGCGGCGCGGTGTCCCGCCGGTGTTCCGCCGGTGTCCCGTTCGTGTCTCGTCGGTGTCCCGATGGCGATGTTGATGATGATTATGATGACGATACTGATGATGATGATGATGATGATGATGATGATGATGATGATGGTGATAATGATGATGATGTTGATGATGACGATGATGATGATGATGTTGATGTTGATGATGATGATGATGACGCCGATTGCGAGATCGATTGTGATATAGGTAGTGAGACCGTAGGTGAGATCGATTGCGCGATGCTGATGGTGATGATGGCCTTCATGGTGTTGATGTTTGTGATTATGATGACGGCATTGATGATGATGATGGCGATGCTGATGATCATGATGAATACGATGGTGATGATGCTGATGATGATGATGTTGATGGTGATGTCGATGATGATGATGACGACGTGGACTCGCGGCTGTTGGCGGTGCTTTGCGCGACCGCCGTCCAAGAGCGAGCGGCAACGCAACTATCTCTACTGGCATTGTCACAACAACGTTCACCACTGTTGCCCAATGCTGGGCCCCTCCCCCCCCAGCCTCCTTGCCGCCCGCAGGGTGGTCGTATAGGTACCAACGCTTCTTATTGCAAAATCGCACTTCGTCCCTGGGCCAGCTGTTGAGGAGACTTCAGTAGTTGAGGGTGCACAAAGAGTTAATCCTGGGAGTGTCCCTTTCAATTCAAAGATCTCGAGTCATCCGAATGCTCTTGACTTACCAGGTCGCCTTCCTTTCACAGTCGGAGCAGCCGTTACTGGTGGAGGAGGTGTGAGTCAGGGAGGTCAAGATGACGACCAGAGGGATGACCGGAGTACAGCTCTCAGCACAGGAATGATTGTTGCGCTGCAGTGGAATGAGACGGGTAAGTCCAAACCGCCCAGAGGCCCCCCACATGGTGATCTTCTCATGTCAATCAAATGGACATTGCAATGGCTATTGCTTCAGGTCGAGTCTCTGACGATGCGAGACGGAGAACAGTGGGCCATTTCGGAACGTGAATTCCACCCTCAATTCTAGGAATAGGCAAGCTCGTCTGTCAGGCGGGAAGAATGAGGGCGGCGGAGGCGGAACAAAGGGCCTCTGCCATGGCAGCGACGATTCTGCGATTAGGATTGCCCACGGATGCGTTGGCAAGTGGACGGGCGAAGAGTGAGACGACTTGTAAATTCGTGAGACAAGGGAAGAATTGTCCTGAAGCAGGTCAAGGTTGTCCTTGTAATCGTGAGAAACCTAAGGCGCCCGCCGCACCGGCACAGCCGGGGGCGGGTGGTGGCGCTTGTAGTGTTGGCAGAAAGAGCGATCGCAACGGTGGGAATAATCGATCCTCGAGCAGAGGCTCAAGAGGAAAGGACTGGCCTCGCTCTTCAACGCCATCGAACAAGTTCTACAATTCGAACGCGACGCAGTCGCGGACGAGGACTCCGTCGGAAGCCCAAAAAGAATGACAGAGCAATATGATTTCTTATGCATGGTCTGCATCTCGTGGCAGCCTGCCGCTCAGAGGGAAAGGGCCCCTTCGAGCGCCTTTTCCATCCGAGGAGACCTTTGCCTTCGAGCTCTTCGCCGGCGAGGCGGGCCTCACCTGGGACCTTCGGTCTCGCGGCCTGCGAGTTGGGCCTCCTGTTGAGCTGCAGCGTGGTGCGAGGTATAACCTCGCGAGAATAAGTATTCATAACCACATCAAGTCGTGGATCTCCATGGGGCTCGTATGGCGCATCCACTTGGGGACCTCGTGTGCGGCCTGGTCCATTGCAAGGAGAGGCGTGCGAAATCTGGGGAAGGCTCATGCTAAGGAAGCGATCGCTGTTGAGTTGGCCCTTTTCGCCGCCGAGATCTGCGCGCTGGCTTCAAGACAGGGCGCCCTTTGGAGTCTGGAGAATCCTACTACGTCACGTCCGTGGGAGTTTGGGCCCACTGTGGGCCTCATGAGGCTCCCCGAGGTGTTCAAGGTTTCTTTCCATATGTGCCAGTATGAGGTCATGCACAAGAAGCCCACCACGGTGCTCACCAATGTCTCGGCCCTGCGGGGCCTGGAAGCTAAGTGTTCTGTGTTCTGGGGGACATGCGCATCGCGTTCTTGAGGGTCAGGAGCGAGTCTTGGGAGATGATGGAGTCTGGCGGACACAGTGCAACACTAAAGCTGCAGGCACTTACCCTTTGGCAGTGTGCTCAAAGTGGGCTTCTCTTATGCACTCTTGTTCGCCGCTGTCCGCTCAGGGGCAACAGAATCCGACTTTTGATCCGTGTGATGAAGCTCTTGCGGCGCTTGTCGGGCAGCGACCCGCCGACTCCCTCTCGCGAGAAGCTGAGGGGCGACAAGACCAGCCACAAGGGTTCGACCGTGCTGAGAGGTACATCAGGAAGCACCGCCTCCAGTTCGGCCGCCACTCGCCGACCTGGGCCACAGCGGCAGAAGGCTCGGCACCGCGTCCAGATGACGTCGCGGGCCTCTGCCCCGCCTGGGCGGTTCCTTCAGGAGAGCACGGCAGGCGAGAAAGCTAAGGATATTTACCGAAGGGAGCTGAAACGTTTCTTCTCGTGGGCGGCCGAGCACGGCCGTCCTACGGACAAAGACGGCACTGGGATCAGCATGAAAGAGTATTCCTTCCATGTTCCAGCAGGGGTACGGGCCCAGCGCGGGCCGCGCCGTCTTCTTCGGCTACCTGCTGCTGCGCGCCGACAACTACAAGGAGCAGCGGCTGCGCCTCGGCGACGTCGAGAGGTCGCTCGCCGGCTGGGCCAAGCGATCCAGGGAGATCGTGGAGGACCCCGCGTCGCAGGAGGTGCTGCTGGACATGGGGGTCTGGGTGGTTGCCAACGGCCGCGGTGACAGCGCCGCCTGCATGGCCCTCCAGCTTGACGACTCTGCCAGGCCGTCCGAGAGCATCGAGCTCATGGTCGGCAATCTGCTGCCGCCTGTGCAGGGTGTCAGAGACACCGCTTCGCGGAACTGGGGCGTCGTCTTTGCGCCCGCGGAGCTGGGCTGCGTCACCGAGACCGGCCAGGTGGACGACCCGGTGGTGCTGGGCAGCCCGTCTCGGCCGCGGGCGCCAGAGATCGCCGCGGCGTTGCGGGCGGGGGCCTCGAGGAGGGCGTTCCGCAGCGGGGCAAGGCCAGCGTGCTGCGCCGCGGACCCTGCGACGCCGCTCTTGCTCGCGCCCGCGCAGTGCGAGCGCGACTTCCGCGACGCGGCCAAGGCGCTCAACTACTTCAAGCTAGCCCTCGCGCCACGTGCGGTGCGGCACGGCGCCCCCTCTCGCGACATCTATCACAAAAATCGGAATCTGGAGCAGGTCCGACGCAGGGGGCGCCGGGCCGCAGAGAAGAGCGTCACGCGCTACGAGCGCCATGCGAAGCTCCTGAAATAGCACAACAAATTCGGGCCGAGCCAGTTCAAGCGCATGAACGTTTCGGCCAGCGAGTTTGCAGCGCAAGTCTCAGCGCGCATCAGGCATGCCGACGACAGTAGCTCACCGACTCGCGCCTGCTCATCTCTCCCCACCCGTGCCCACCCTGTTCTCGTGCTCACGCCCAGTAGCCAATATGGGCGATATGGGAAGTCCGAGCTCGGGATTTTTTCATTCGATTGCAGTTGCACTGGTCAGGGCAACCTTGGACGGATTAGACAGGTTGAACAGTGGGAGTGTCCTCTTTAGTTTCTCAATGACTCGCGGCTTTCCCGACGGCCACGGGGTTGTGGGTTGGCTCCCTAGAGGCTCTGGGCACGCGCTGAGAGGATTGGAGGAATTTGAAGTATTTATGTTGCTTCCTCTCGCGTTGTTGGCGTGCGCGTCAGGGGTCGATCGACGCGTCCGACCGCTGCCTTCCGTGTTCAAGCTCTCCCGCCCGCGGCCGCCCAAACGGAAGTCCGAGCTCGGGATTTTTCATTCGATTGCGGTTGCACTGGCCAGGGCATCTTTGGACGGATTAGACAGGTTGAACAGTTGACCTTCGGTGCAATGTGAGAGTGTCCTCTTTATTTTCTTAATGCCTCGCGGCTTTCCCGACGGCCTCGGGGCTGTGGGTTGGCTTCCTAGAGGCTCTGGGCACGCGCTAGGAGGATTAAAGGACTTCATCGTTCAGTATGTAACTGGACAAAGGCCATGCGGCGCCAACAAAGAAAGGCGCAAACAAAGGGCTGAGGGCACCGCGACCACGCGCGAATTCCACGACATTCGGACACCTGACCACAATGGATCACTGGCTTGCGATGGATGACCTGTCGCGGGGGCTCCACGGCGAGACCGCGTGCGTGCCTTTTCGCGACCGGGGAGCCGACTTCATAGCAGCTCAGGGTGTACGCGACAAACCAGCGGTTCGCGTATGCAATTTTTGGATTAAGCTCAAAGCCCCAGGGGAGAAGTTAGAGCACTGCTATACCGACGGTGCGAGGGAGCTCGCCAGAACTTGCATCGAATTTAACATAGCACATGGCGCGAATAAACTCATGGATGTTGCAGAACGATCACATGGGATTGTTCAAATGGGGGCGCGAGCGCTGCTCATGCAAGCGGGCCTTCCCCCACCATTTTGGACGCATGCTGTCCGATATTTTTATTTTTGCTATAACACGAAGATTCCTGAGAACAGTGAATCATCATGGAGGCGCAGATTCGGACGCGATTTTGCTGCCCCACTTCTACCATCTGGTTCTCTCATTCGTTTCATGCCTCCACCCGAGTCTAGGCTTCGGATCGCCAAAACAGGCGGGGCGATGATTTCGGGGATTTACTTCGGAAGTGTGCATAAGGCGGGGGGCATGGTTGGACCAGAGAGCTGCGTGACACCAATCCGACAACTTGATGGTCTGAACATGGACACTGGGCGGACACCGGCTGGCAAGCGTCCAATCATCGAGCAACCATATCAAGTTTGCAATAATATCTTGGGCGGTACAGCGCCCGACCAAGAGCCTAAGTTCCCTATGCGTAAAGCATTCGAGATTGCACAAACTGCAGTCAAGAATGTGATCATTCCCCCTAGCAGCGTTCCTGACGGCACAGCCGGTCATGCACCCAAGCCGGGAACACAAGCAGCTGTGGATCCCCGTTCATCTAAACAACCGCTCCGAACACGAGGCAAGGTCGCACCGCAACCCCATGAAGATGACTCCGGTGACGATGGTCCGGGGGGAATTCGTGTGAATGACGTGCCTGTGATACCAGATGGTAGGGGCCCTCGGCGAGATGCTCAGCCTGATAATGACCCTAAACGAAAGCTGGATCTTTCCCATGCGGAGTGCAGATTGGATCGGCCGTCTAATTTCTCAGTGGCACAGCCGCGATCGAGAGTGCCTGGGCCAGGGCAATTTCTGGCTCGCACCACGCAGAACCTAGACACTATGGAGTATTACGCAGACAGACGCATTGCTGCAGGACTTAACAGCGAAGAATTGGCGGGGAAACTGCCGTTAAAGGGAAGAAGGACAACTTGCAGCATGCGGGTTGTCTTGTATCACGACCCTGACTATGTACCTGTGACACGCCATTGGGTTACTGGCCCAGATCCACGCTACGGGGCACAATGGCTCAAGAAATTGCCCAGTTCTACAAGCCTGGGCACTCGCCCAAGTCGGTGGTTTAACATGAGCCATGCAGAGCGAAGGGAAGCGGTGGAGCAATTCCAAATGGAGATACGGGGATTCTTCGGCATTGTTGATCCAGGGCCCTGTATTGCTCTTCTTCGTGACATTGGAATCGACGCAGTCGATCTCCATAATGCACAAGGAAGACAGACTAATGGAGAATCTCCAGAGGGTAATGTTCATTCGGGTATTGAAATGGGAGAAAGAAAGCAATGGGAGGATGATGTGCGAAGGGACACTGGCGTTGGCTGGCATGCTGTTCTGCACCTTGTGGGAGCCCCAGCGGAATCTTCCACCGATGCTGGCTCCGCGAGTGACCGAGACACCTCCGATGATGAGGAAGTATGGTGGAAACAGACATGGTACGGAGGGACTATCCTGAGAGACGGATTTCCTCCTGACGCAGTCAGTGAGGATATCATGTTCTCACAACTGTCTCGGTCTAGCGGGAATGGCCTGACTTCGAGTCCGGCGGCCGTCACTTCGCGACGCAGCGTTTCCCGCGCGCCATTGCAGTCACCCGAGACATGTCTTCCATTGCGCCGTGAGAAAGAAAGGTTGGAGGCGAGTTATTTATGCAGCCCGTTCACCGATGATATCATATTTGTTGAACAGGCATGCGAGTTGCCGACTGAATCCCAATCGCAGTAAAGTTTCGCAGTTGTTGCAAGATCTATATCCAAGGCTGAAGCCGCGGTGAATCAGGACGCTCGCAAAGCGTTGCGAATCGAATGGGGCCGATTGCGAAGCATCGGTACTTGGGGCGAGTCGAGAGTGATGGAATGCAGTGATGTCGTCAAACAGCCAATGTAGTTGTGGTATGTAGTTGAGGTGAATTCTATTTGTAGTTGAGGTGAATTCTATTCGTCGGACGATTATTTGCTATTGTAGTTGAGGTGAATTCTGAACTCCCAATCGGGCACAACGACCGCAAATACCATGGTCGCGGTGTCTTTGGTGGATCCGATGTTGGATATCAAAATTCAGAAGTAGCCTTGTTTCATGAGCTTTCTACTAGAAGTCTGGCCACCATGCAGGCCAGCAAGGCGGCGGATACCGATGTTCTCTTCGAGGAAAATGATATTCAACAGGCGGATGCTAAACTGGCCTACACCCAGTCCAAACTCGGGGGAACTCCAACATTGATTTTCTTCCTGCGAGAAGAATAGCCGTCTGCTTGGAAGAAAATGAGAAACCCTGTATGTCTTTTCATTTTATCTTTCTACGGACACCTTGATTCCGGCGGGTATTGGGAGCAACGCTGTGAAGGACATGTAACTTCAAACGGGTTTATCAAATGTAGTCCTTGGCGTAGTTGCTAGTTTCTTACGAGCAACCTTCATAGTCGCGAGGTATCTGGGTTGTGATCATCGCATCTCCACGCGACGAGTGGAATGGCAGGGGGAACTGCCCACCACTGTCGACCCCCCGCCGCCGAAGGCACAGCAACCATCTTCCATCGGCTCTGCGGTAGAGAAGGGTGGCGAGGAAACGGGGCTGAATTGGCGGCGCAGCCGACTGACCCATAATATATTTTGACTGAGTTCTTTCAGTCCTGTGTCGTGCTCTATGTTCAGTTAACTGACACTGACCCCGCAACCTACCCTGCTGCGGGCGCTCCTTTTGGTCCCGAGTTGACTGATTTTGAGGGCGGACAAGGAGGTCCGCGGGGGGAGAAACACCCACCTTCGGAAGAGGCAGTAGCAGCTGTGCTGGGAGTCGGCAGTGACGCAGGTTCTCCAGATACGCCAGGTGAGGTTCCCGGCTTGCCAGCGGAGCCTGGTCCAGATGATCCAGAACCAGCGACGCAGTCGGGGCCCCCTGCAGCCTATTGCGGCAAAGGTTCTCATGGAGATTGTATATGGAGCGAGAGTGGCTCGATGTGACTTGTCGCGTGCTGTCAGTCGCGCAGCGAGCTGTGTTACGAATTGGATGGAGCAACAGGACACGCATTTTTTCGCTTAATATGCTACATCAAGTCCACGACCTTGTATAAGATGACGTCGTGGGTCGGTGGCAAAATTGATGATGTTATGATCAAGCAATATTCTGAGGCATACCTCGCGAGTGATTTACGGGCACATCGTAGTGCAAGCGCTCAATTTCCGAACGGTTTACGCGTGGAATTGTTAGTTTACAATACGAACGTACCCAGAGCGAGGCTGCTGACATCGGTGCAAAGCGTTCGCAGATCCTGCAGCGTGGGTCAAGGTTCTTTTCATTGTTAACATAATTACCCCTAAATTTTACTTGCGTCGACGTTCACTGATGGACTTCCCCTGATGCCCGGGGGGGTTCTCAAGCCCCGAATGGGTCTGAAAGCTGTGGCGCGTCCGGGTGGTATTGTGAAGAGCAAAATGATGTATAAGAAGAAACGGGTAACCAAAGGGTTGCCAGCGACGTCCGTGCCTATGAAGCATGCGGGCATGGCCCAAACGCCCACGGTGGATGCTTCAGTAGCCACTGAAGAAGAAACCGACGCCGCACCCGGCACAGCCGGCAGTGTTGACACGCAGAGACCCTCCGGGTCTAATAGAGGCGGTTTTAGGAAAAAACTCTCAACAGCGAAAGTCACGAGAAGACAAAGAGGTGATGGCTATGTTCGAGATAGCTGATAGTGAATCGGATGTCTCAGACAGACCAATGCAGTCCACTGAGCAGGTAGATTGCACTGACATTGCCGATGTGGCTGTAACAGAGTTGAATGATAACGTGTTACTGTCAGCGATTGATCAGCCAATGGATGACCCAGCCGTTGTGGGAATGGAGTGCAACGTAGAAAGA